CCCCCCCCCTTTTCGGCAAATCTCACCGAAAGAAGTTTGATCCGAAACCATCGATCAATGCTTACTCATGAAGCTACCTACATCCGTTAGGTAATTACAGTATTCACATTTTGTGCAGAGCATCGTATTTAGGATACCTACCGAGTACAACGTACGTGTACTGGCAGTCCTGGTGTTCTGACATCATTCACACCATAGCTGCAACGCCCGCATGTCTGATTGCTCATGTGATCTGCGCTCTTCAGTTCCCAGTGCCCATACTGACGGCACGCCGACCCGCACTGCGTAATGATTGTTACAGTAGAGACTTGTCTGGGAGAAACACTAGGTGCTGTCGAGAGCATAGACTGGGTGACGCAGGCTATAAGGCAATCACTTATCGCCGAAGGATGAATGAACAACGAAGAGCAAAGAGCAAACAGGACGGCAAGGAGAAAGCCGTCTTTACAGGTAATTATCTGCCACATGGCTTGGCTTGAAGTACCGGTATCTGTACTTTGTCGTGTTTGCCTCTGTGTGACCCCTTAGGTACGTACCGTAGCTACCTCAGCTACCTCCACAGCCCCAGATACGTCCTACCAGGTAGTCGGCCTGTCATGAAAGCTTGGTCACGATGGCAAATCGCCGATACGGTGATTCGGCGTTAGGGTCTTTCCACCTTTCACATGGCGAAGTCTGCAGCATTCCCGCCAAGCTATAAGATAATATCCAATGAATTAGCTCCCTTTATACTCCGTACACCATACTTTGGAGTTACGGATGCATTTGGGCGTGGCTCGACGGAAGCCTCCGGTCCGCATTTTATGGTGCTACCCGCCCGGCTGGTGCCTTGTGGGGCGCCGACTTCTTATCTCGTTAAGTACCTTAAGGTATCCGTGATCTCACACTGTCATGCCCCACAGGGGCCGGTACGAAGTACTCCGGCGTATCGCGGTAGTGTAGTCGTACCGTGTGTCAAAGATGACCATAAGGGACAACGTTCCAGCGTGGTGTTCGAATCGAGGAAGCCGGCGTTTTGATAAAAAATATAAAAAATATAAAAAACACCCCATCAAGTGGTAGGTGAAGCAGGCGCAGACTTGAGCGACGGGACAGGGTATCACTCGGCATGATCCGAAGTCCCAAGTCGGGATCTGCTCGGGTGAGGCTTAGGCATCAGTGCCTCTCTGCCAGTTGCCTACATGGCAACCGCATTTCAGAACCGCTTGAGGCGTTTCTCATTTTCGACCATCACATCTTCTACTCTCCGTTTCGCCAAGGCGCCCGTGACAGCGAAGACGCAATGGCGCCGTACCAGTACAAGCCGCTGAATCTCCCCCACGAGACTCGCATCCTGACCAGCCTCCCCGGCCAGTTTGACGACCCACTCACCTGTAGTCTGGCGCCCATGCCGTTCTCCCTGCCGCCGGCGTCCTACACAAGACGCTCAGTTACTGCTGGGGCCCGCGGTTTCGTCGGCTACAAGGAGGGGGAAGGGCTGAGCGAATCGGCCGAGATGCCGTTTCGAGATCTGCTCGACCATCCATACTACGGTACTCACTACATTGCACAAGGCGGGATGCTGCCGGCGGGTATCGTCAACATTTGACAGCGCCGAGTTGGGGTCGGCGGTGAGCTGCACCGCGCCATGAGACGGATCCGAGACGAGGAAGAGCCGCTGAGGATCTGGATTGACGCCGTATGCATTGACCAGCAGAACGTGGACGAGAAGAACGAGCATGTTAGGATTATGGACCGGATCTACTCGCATGCGGATGAGGTCTACATGTGGCTGGGCGAGTGGGTTGGTAACGAGCACGACGCCATCGATGCGCTGGACGAGGCGCAGAACGTCCTGGTGGATGTGCTTACGAGAGAGGACCTAAGGGGTGTTACAAAGATGCAGATCCAGGCTGAGATAGTCAAGCACGAGAGGACTAAGAATATCAGCTGGGAGGCCCTCGCACCGCTTGTTGGTCAACCATGGGTAAGCACCCTGCAAGAGAGCGTCGCCTCGGGGGGCATCCCGCTCTTTCTTGCTCCTGGACATGCTCGAGGAGACGCGCAACTTCAAGAGCACAATCGCGAACGACAAGATCTACGCCGTGCTGGGACTCGTCGACACGGCTACCGCTTCCGACGTGGTGATCGACTACGGGATGGACGGGCGTGCGGTTTTCCGGGAGTTTGCCGCGCGGTCGTTGAGCAAGCGAGAGAGCTTGGACGTCTCATCTCATTGCGTCGTTCCCAAGACGCCTTCGGGGCTGAAGCACCTTCCCTCGTGGGTGCCGGACTGGACCTCGCCCGGTTGGGTCGAGCCCTTCCGAAGCCGAGGCCTCGAGGCCAACGCAGGAGGAAGCAGTAGTAGCAGCAGCAGCAGCAGCAGCACCCTGCCAATCGATCTCACCATCGACGGGAACATCCTCTTCATTTTCGCGGGCGGATCATCGACAAAATCAAGACGCTGGACGCGGTCAAGGAGATCCCCCCGTCCAGAGGGCCTGACGAAATCGGCACATGGAACGTCGCCGACGTCCAAACCGACCCGGACAACATCCCGGGCTCGGTCGACCGTGCGGTGAACGCCGAACTGAGGAACCAGATCCGCACCATCCTCCAGCACAACAACAGGGCCGCCTCGTATGAAACCATCATGCACATATCCGGCATCAACGACAACTTTTCGCCGCCCCACGTGGAGCGGCTCTGGCGCACGTTCATGTGCAACAAGACGCGCGCCAACGAGGCGCCCGACGAGACGATGGGCGCACTGGGTCTGAAAGCATTTCTGATGTCGGCGATGTCGTTGGAAAACACGATGGATGTGTTGAGAGACATCGCCAAGGGATTATGGATGGGGGAGGGGCTTTGCGATGAGTATCCAGAGCAAATGCTCAAGATTTCATGGGCTCTCATTTAGGGGAAGAGCCAAAGAGCGAAAGATATAAAGAGCCTCCAAGTCCCAAGACCCTGGAGATCCTTCAGCCCCTCGATCTCCTGAGTCCTCTATAGGACACGAGGAATCTTATTTTCACTCTCGATATCGGGGTACGTAGGTAGTCTCGGTGTAAGGGTTCACCGACATGCACGTGTACTGTATTAGTAAGCACCTATCCATGATTACCTAACAAGGTACAAGCCGGCTTACATTATATGGCCTCACCCTCGACCGACCCCACGGCGGGGAATTCAACTGCCTAAGAACGTCACTGAAGGAACGCTGAATAGGTAACCGTACAACTCTAGCCAGACCAAAACAGGCTCTAAACCTCGCGATTCTCTTCCTTCCCGCCAATAACGCCCAACTCTCCACCGCCTCCGCCGCCTGGTCCAACCACCAACCCCCTTTCGTCATGAACCGCCTCTTCGGCACGGCCCCCAAGGGCCCCAAACCGACCCTCAGCTCCGCGATCGGCAACCTCGACGAGCGCATCGCAAGCCTCGACGTCAAGCTAGCCTCCGTGAACGCCGAGCTGCAAGGCTACCAAGCCAAGATCTCCAAGATGCGCGACGGGCCGGGCAAGTCGGCGATCAAGTCCAAAGCGCTAAAGGTGCTCCAGCGGCGCAAGATGATCGAGGCGCAGCGCGACCAGCTGCAGTCGCAGGCGTGGAACATGGAGCAGGCCCAGGGCATGCACGACAACCTCAAGAACACCATGGCCACCGTCGACGCCCTCAAGACCACCAACCGCGAGCTGAAGAAGCAGTACGGCAAGGTCGACATCGACCGCATCGAGCGCCTCCAGGACGAGATGGCCGACCTCATGGACGTCGGCAACGATATACAGGAGACCCTCGCCCGCGGCTACGACGTGCCCGAGGACGTCGATGAGGCGGAGCTCGACGCTGAGCTCGAGGCCCTCGGCTACGAGGCCGAGTTGGAAAGTGAGGGCCAGCTCGGCGCTGGTGCGCTTCCGAGTTTTATGCAGGATGAGCTGCCCGAATTTATTGACGAGGAACCTTTCACCGCGAATAAGGAGGCGAATAAGTTGAAAGAGGCGGCCGCGTGAGGGTAGGAGTGTAGGAAGAAAAACAAAAAAGAAAGAAAACGCGGGAATGTTGGAATGGAGGATGGACGATGGTCTGCTGCATCGGCGACGAGCATACCCTTTATCATATCACATGAGGCTATATGGCGACTACATTGCGTGGCGAAACTACCAGGTAACGTGGAATTGCTGGAGCACGGAGATGACCTAATCATCCAGGATTCGGCAGACTGGCTGGCGTTGGAGTTGGGGGCGGTCGCTTTTGTCGTTGGTATTGGCTACCTAAATTGAGCAATTTCCTTTGTATTTATTTTATTTGAGGCGCCCTGCGAGGATAGCGCACTCCTTTCGCCTGTCCTATGAGGTTTCTATACGGCCCCGGCCCCGTATCATATATTATCTTATTCATACGGTATAAAATATACAATAGTTTGCTTGGTAAAGACGCCATAATTGTGACACACAACGCCGCATCATGACATGAGAAAAGACGCCCTTCCTTCCTCGCTACTGTGCTCAGAGCTCAGCTCCAAACTGGCGGGTTGTTGTCGTTGTCGATTAACGCCAGATGACTATTGTCTAAGGTCAACATATCTCAGTGAGGCATTGGCCATGCCCTGTCTAACCCGTTCCCTGCCTCTCCCCGCCACACAAATTAATCTATCGTACCGAAGATGCGGGACACAACCTCCAGCTCGGGATCTCCGTTACAGAAATCCCACCCGACGATGACACTGGTCTGACTACAACATATGATGCGACAGGCGTCGAACTGAAGTTTGAACACCCGCGCCGCTGTGGTATCTGTGTTGGCAGGAGGTGGGTGGTGCGCAGCAGCGCCCCCCTGAGCCGCTTGCTGTTGCGGGGGGTGATGAGCTTGAGTCTGAGTTTGACCCTGAGCCTGCTGAGCCTCCTGAGTCTGCCCCTGGGATGGTGGGGGTGGGGGTGGCGGCGCAGCCGCTTGAGCCGGGGGTACAAGGATAGAATGGGACTGCACAGGTGCCGCGGGGACCTGCTGGTGATGCTGTACGGAAGGCGTTGCTCCCTGCCCTTGTATGTGAATATGCCCCTCGACCTGAGGCACAAGGGGAGGACCACGGTAGGCTGAACCGGGAATCAGCGAGGCGTCCTGAGCGCTGACTGTTCCGCTTGTGCCTACTGCGACGACAGGAGCCGTACTTTCCGACGGTCGGTCGGTCGGTCTAGTGGGATCGTAGATAGTCCTGTTTCCGCGCGGCCCCGTCGTTGTAGTGTGAGGTCCAGAGGCAGAAGAACTCGCGGCTGCACCCATGGTAGACGTACTCGGGCCGGCAATTGTGCTCAGCGGGGGAAGGGTAGGCGGTGCAATCGGACCGTTCGTGTGTTGCATGGAAGCGAGCCGTGTCCGCGCCTGGGCCTGCTGCGTGGCGACAATAGCATTGGCCACAACCTGTCGGAGCTGACCACGAACAGCCGGCAACGGCTCCCTGTTGATGGCTGCTTGGAGATGTGCCTGATAGGCTAACATGGTCGGGTAGCTCGCCAAAGCTTGTTGGAGGGCAAGCACACCCTGGGGAACGATAATATCAATCAATGCCATGAAAGAGGCCGCCGAATCGGGCGTGATTGTAGCGATGATAGGCGACTCGATGGTCGACCTTAGATTGGAGGACTGGTTTGGAAGTGTCGTATGATGGAGGGACGCCTGCGAGCCTGGTGCCGTGGCTGCTGGTCGGCCTGCTGAGGAAGGGGGAGGCGCAGAACGCGGTGGTGCGACGGGGGTGGGTGACCGGGCTTGCGCCGCTTCGACGACTTGCTCGTGGTAAAGACGGTGTGCGGGGACCCAGGTATCGTCCTCGTCGCGACGCCAGATGATGATCCTCTGGTCGTAGGAGCCAGAGACGATGCGAGCATATCTCCCACCGCCGCCGCCAGGCGGCAGCCAGGCGCCATATGCATTAATGTCTTCCAGCCTTCGGCTTCCGGCGTTACTGCTCCTTGACAGACGACCTCTCGACCCGTGTCCAGCGGGAAGGGTGCCGGACTCCAGTGCCTTGAGGTACTGCTCGTCTAACTTCTTGGCCACGAGCTTGTCCTCGTGCTGGCTGTAGGGCAAGTCGCCAAATCCTGCCTGGACGGTTCGGACTAGGTGGCTGTGGGCCCTCAAGCTGGCCACCTCGATGCCGGTAGCACCGTCAAACACCTTGATCTCGTTGTCGCTACTGCCGCTGACGATTCTCCGCCCGTCGTATTGCACGCAGGCGATTCCTTTGCCGTGACCGACCACGGTCCGGCTGCAGATCTGGTTGGGCCAGTCCCAGACTTTGATATTCCTGTCACCACTGGCGGAGACGACCTCGTTGCCATGGATCTGTACGGCGTTGACGGCGGCGCCGTGGCCTTCGAGCCGACCAATCATTGTGTAAGGCGGAATTACGGGAAGGCTGTCCGTAGGGCTACCGTACCTGTAGTCGCGAACGCGGATAGGTACGGGATTGATGGGATCAGTGTGTGGGTATCCGACGTCCCCGTACTTCAACGGCCTGCGGTTGAAGATCTTGATGGTCTTGTCCTTGGAGCACGTTACCAGAATGCGCTTGTCGAATTTGACGTTGAGAACGGAATCGGTGTGGGCCGTAGTCAGACGTTGAATGATCTCGCCGGTGGAAAAACGCCAGATAATGACATTGGAATCGCTGCTGCCAGAGACAATGACATCTTCCTCCGGGTCGGCGTCGAACTGTAGCGACAGGACCGAGCCGCTGTGGCCCTTGAGCGGAGGCCGCAGAAGACGTCGGCTCTTCATGCCCCATATGCGGATGGTCCGATCGCGGCTGCCGCTGACGAGGTACTGCGAGTCAAATTGCAATGTGTAGATGCACTCCTGGTGTCCTTCCTCGGGATGATCCGGGAGGGGCAACTGGAAGTTAACGAATTTGCCCTGCTCCCAATTGGACTCGAGGCGCCGCCGGAGGCTGTACACATATCTCCAGTTAAGACGATAGCGGGAGTTGAGGGCATCCCACACCCATATGGACGGCTCTGGGAGGTTCGAGCTCACGAGGGCTGTGGAGCCTTTTCTCGACGACTCGTCCTTCACTTCCCTAGCCTTGCCCTTTCCCTTCACATCCTCCTTGTGCGGTTCTTCATATGGGGAATTCTTGGAAGAGGCGCCTGCGCCGTCGACATCCATGGCAGCGGATTGGTCGGCCGGTGTTCGACTCGTAGAGGGGGATGAGGACGAGCGGTGGGGGGAGGCAAAAATGCTGCTCCCTACGCTGGGATCGTCTAGTCTGGACGGGCGGTCGGCATCTGGCATTTCCGAATCCTGGTCTCCTGATAGGGCGCGTTTTTTCGAGGTATGGCCGCCCTCAGACGCCATCACACGATGGTAGGTGCTCACTGCGGAGTTGTAAACTTCGATGCCCTCGTTGACCTTGGCCTCCCAGGCCTCAATTTCTGGATACACAGCGCGCCATCCTTCCAGGTGGTATAGTCTTTCCCATAGCTTCCAGTCGACAGCGAGGCTGTACCAAGAGCGGCAACAGCAGGCGACGTTCACAAGAGAGACGGGGTCGAGATAGCCGAAAATCTTCAAGCAGATTTCAGGGGGGATGTATCGGACGAAGTCGATGTAGAGGCGTGAGCGCAGACGTTCTGCGATCTGGGCGATGACAGGTGAAGGGAGGTCGTCGAGCAAGGCGATGGCAAGCTGCGACTTGATCGATACAGGTAGATATGGTAGACTTTTGGAAAGCCACGAGGCGAGGTCGTGAGAGGCGGGTAGCTCGACGGTATCAGGGCCGACAGATATAGAAGAGGGGCCTAATAGCGAGATAGGGCTGGGGTTGAGAGGGTCTTCGGAGTAGCCCTCGTCGGGCTGCGAATGTTCCTGCATATCTGATGCTAAGGGACCTGCTCCCTTTTTGGTCGAGGGACGACGACGGCGGAGACAAAGGATATGGGTCGAGGAAGATGAGGGGAGGATGCGATGGCGGAATATGGGAAAAGGCGGTCGGTTTGTGGTTTGAGCCGCGTCAGGAGGGGTCCGAAGGGTTGGTTGTTGACGTTTGCTGGAGTTGTTATTTTGGTCTTGGTTATCCTGCTTTCTGCTTTTTTTCGATGCACAAATACAAAACAAACCGCTTCAGGTGGAGTTATGGATATAGGGAGCGGCGGAAAAGAGTGTGCTTTCTTGGGGGTGGGAGGGTTGTTTTTGGTTTCGACAGAATCGCACCTTCTCCAATGCAGGGTTGGTGATGTTGTTGCCTGCTTTCCGCTTCCAGCAAGTACCAATACGTGCTAAGGTACCTACCTTAGGTATTACTAAGAGGTAGCTGACCATCTCGATGCCTCTCGGAAAGACAACTCCAGGATTGGTGGGTCCTCCCAAAATAGTCGGACGTTGTATTACGTATTCAGGTACTTACCTAGATGTCAAATACTGTGCACCTGAACGCGAAAAGACGAAAATACCGGTAGCGATCATCAGTCAGACGGGCATGTGACCGCAAGTAGTAAGCTTCAAATTATTGATCTGGAAGCACAGTCACTGTGCACGATTCGGCGCAGACGCTTGCTCTAGAACCCCAGATTGGCGTTATCATGCCCGACTAGGTATCCTGTATTAGTCGCTTGAGGCCATCCGTAAAACGACAAGTTCGTTGCACTTTCGGCTTTGCCCGTCAATGGCCTACGCGTGCGGAGCATATTCGATGCATCTTTCGTTGTTTCCCCAGGAAGTTCAGAGGGCAGGTCGTCTCTCCAGCAACATACGAAGAGAGATAAGATACACCATGCCCATGGCACTGTGTTGTTGCTTGCTGAACACATGAGATAAATCCACTCCTCACCCCCTCCACCGTGAGGAGGCATTCCCGCGCCTATTGTATGACTCGCCTACTAGCTTGCTGCTTTGTGTTGCCGTTAGCCTGTTCCTGTTTGTCTTGACTGTCTTGAGACCAAAACTGATCCCATGGGCATGGGGTCTCCCGCTGGTCATGCTTTCGTACGGCTCCTGTTTCCCGTCACACGAGACACAGTCTGCCCAGGGGATTAACACGAAACATCCAGCTCTCTTGTCAACACCCCGCTCTGCTGTAATTGGAGTGGGCGGTTTTCTTTTGTTAATTTGTATTGTCATTTATTTATTTATTTAATGTAGAAGCGGGAGAGAAGGATGTGCGAGGTCGCATAACCTCTTTCGTTCTTCTTTTTTTTTTTGGGGTCTTTTTCCCCGGTTTATTAGCGACTCCATGCCTAGCACTGCGTTTTGACCTTGGATCAAGAGGCCCGAGCGATCGGGGAATAGATCCCGGTAAAGCGCCATGACAGGACTCGACCAGGCCGGCATTTATCGTTGCCCCACATCTTTACTGCCAGACGCGGTACGAAAAGCAAATCTATACTTAGGCCAACGCTTCAAGTTTTATTACCTAATTTCTTCTTAGGTATATGGGCTTGATAAGGTAGAAGAATCCAGGAAAGGAATGGATGGTAGGTATGTACGAATAGGTAGGTTATAAGTTAGTGGGTTTGATTTGGGCAGAACCAGCGTATATTGTACCTGAATTTCCTACTCTATATCACTTCGTAGGAACAGAATTATCACCCCTTATTACGGTTTTAAATCCCCTGAACAATAAATAGTACACGTACATACTACCGGCATTGCACACACGTGCTAATTCCCCAGGCATCTGATAACTTGGCGGTTTATGTCATGTGCGTATTTATCTATTTCCGACACACCGGTGAATTCCTGCAGGAGCCAGTGGAAATGGGTGTTCGGGGTGCCCATCCTGTCGGATACTTCATTCCTTCTAACCCCCTATTCTCCCTTCCATCCAAGTTCTCGAACATATCATGCCACCAGATACCACCAGATATCAAGGTACTATTGACCCCGCGGCAGTATATACCTTACGTACATATAAAGGCCTCTAACGTATTCGGCGTTCCTTATCAGATTATCAACTCTCCCCTAATACCTGATTATCTCTATCTAAGATAGGAATTCTAGGAAGATATCTAGTCGTAATTACTTCGCACTTCTCGCTTATATACTATTGTAGTACCAAGTACGAGTACAATGTAATCATAGTGTTTTGGATGGCCCAAGGATCGATCCTGTGGCGTAATTGCGGCACTGTGTAAATATCCAGACGGTTCCACTAGGGGGAGCGCACTATCCAATAGCATACATAGTATATTATTAGGCTAAGCCTATCCACCCTAGCGTTACTACCCGCTAATTTCGAACGCCTTATTACTTAAGGTTTTATGGCTATTCCCTCGGCACAAATACAGTACAGATTACCATATCATACACATATCCGTCCCTAGTAGGACAGGTCTAAACCCTTAACCTTTATACTCAAAGGGACAAGAGCTTAAGAACAAAGCCCACCAGGCCATGAGCGCACAGATCAATTATGGGCCATTGGGTTCTCCGGCCCCATTCCCCCTCACCTCCCCCCCTTTAACGACTCCTAAGCCTACCTTAGACGCCAACCCAAGTATCTCCGCCCCCTCCCTCCTTTGGCCTCGAACGAGACCGTTCCCGCCACGTACAACGTACCTGCCTACCGTCTACCAGCACAAGCCTACCTACCTACCTTACTCACCTTACCCTACTTCGTACATGCTCTTCTGGCCTTGCAGCCTGCAGCTGCACACCGAGGAATAAAGCCACTTTGGTCAGAGCAGCGGCAGGCCTTGTTTCTTGAAACACCTCTCCAGGAGTAACCACGACTTCCAGCCGTGGATTCGGATCCTGACCTCCGTCCGGACGACAGTGCTTCGCTGGGTCAAAACTCCTAGCAAGCCCAGTGGAGGCACCTATCCAACCCCCTAGACCCGCCTGTTGCACATACCGACCAGCGCCCGACTTGACCAAAACTTCCCTCCTCACACACCCCCCCCCCCTTCTTTCTCCCGTCGACTGGTCGACTTTTTCCATTCTTCGCGAAAATACCAACGCAACGACAGTCCCCGGACAATCGACGTTGCTTTGACATTTTTCTGGTCGGCCCGGTCCTCGTCTTGGGACTGATCTGTGACGTCAAATTCATTCTTTTCATTGTCTTCAGTTTCTGCTCTCCGCCATCCACGGGAGTACCCCCGGTCTGTCCACTTCGCCCCAATCCTGCGTGCAGCGGTGGACGACTCTACTCGACATTCCCGGCCATCCGATCACTATCCACTGTCGTCCCATCCGACCACCGTCACTTCTCAATAGAGCGTCCGAAGAAGAACGACGTCTCGTCGATTCATTGGTATCTCCGACAACTGCCGAGCGCCTTTCTACTCCCCATTCGCTTACATCGTGACCGCCCGTTGGATACACTCATATCCTTCCCTCGTCTTTCTCTGAACCGAGCCTATCCCGATTCTTACCCGCGCTTGACGAACAGGCGACCACGGAGTCCAACGAATGGGCTAGAAAGTGGACGAACACGCTATGGCCCATGCCCCTCTCCTGAGAACGAACACTGCACCGACCTTGGTTCATCAGTCCTCCCACGGTTTCGGAGCTGCGCCAACCACCATGAGCAGTGCACCGCGTGGGAGCCAACTCTCTGGCTCGACAGCCTACAACAGCTCATCGGCATCGTTAGCCTCACTCTCTACCGCGACAACATATGCACCTAGCTCCGCTCCTGGCACGGTCGTGGCCACCTCCAACATTATCAACCAAAAGGCCGATGCCTCCCGGTCTCTCTATCACCTATGCATGTCCTTGAAGGCTCGTCTGGCCCTAGTCCCCGGATTCGACGAGCATCTTCGACAGCTCGACCCTCACGATCCCGTCGAGTCTTTATGGGGCCTTTTCCGGAAAGGCTATCCTCTTCTTACCATCTACAATGCCCTACAACCAGCCGAACCTCCCCAGATTGGCAATCTAAATGCCTCGGAGAGTAAACGGTCCAAGATCGCCCTTTTCAAGTTCATAGAGGCCTGCTTGAAGGACTTGGGTGTCCCTGCTGCGGAATGCTTCGTCATCAGCGATGTCCTGGGTAACGACACCACCGGTTTCGTCAAGGTATTTATCTCTGGACCACCCTTCGCATCCTGTCCGCGTTCTTCGTGGTCCCTTTTCTAATACTAGGTGCAGGTGACCCAAGTGGTAAACCACGTTCTCGATATTGCTGAACAGCGTGGGCTGTTATTGCAACGGCAGCCGTATCCCGAAGATGAACTCACGGTCGAGCCTGGCTCAAAGCTGAGCACGCGTGACTACATTGTCAGGGAGTTGGTGGACACGGAACGCAAATACGTGCAAGATTTAGAGAACCTTCACGATCTCAAGAGCAGCCTCGAAACAAAAAGCATCGTGCCCGGCGATACTATCCACCAAATATTTCTCAACATCAACGCTATTCTCGACTTCCAGCGCCGGTTCCTTATTCGCGTCGAAACAACCAACTCGATGCCGCAGACGTCACAACAATGGGGCTCTCCTTTTGTCGCGTACGAAGATGCGTTCGATATCTATAGACCGTTCATCGCCAATCAGCGAAAGGCTGGACAAGTTGCGAACCAGGTATTCGATCAGATCCGATTATCGGGACATCCTGTAGCTGTGGACTTCAACACCCTTGACAGCTTTCTTCTTAAGCCCATGCAGCGCCTTGTCAAATACCCCCTCCTTCTCAAGGTAGGCAAAGACTCTGATAACGGGCACGGAGATACACTTACGTTAACACCGTCTAGGATCTACTAAAGCAGAGCGATGACGAGGACGAGAAAGCCGACCTCTCAGCCGGCATTGAGGTCGCCGAGCGCATTTTGACCAAGGCCAACGAAGAGATAAACCGTGATGTGTTGGACGAAGCCCTCGAGGATCTTCGCAATCGGGTAGATGACTGGAAGAACCACAAAGTCGAACAATTCGGCAAGCTCTTGCTCCATGGCGTCTACACAGTGGTCACTGGCAAGTCCGAACAAGAAAAAGACGTGAGTTTACGCAGCAAAAGTCGAGGCCGGAGAGCGAACTTCAGCGCTAACAAACGTACCAAGTATGAGATCTACCTGTTCGAGTGCATTCTGCTGTGCTGTAAGGAAGTGTCGCAGAACAAGAGCAAGGATAAGAAGGACAAGACGAGGTCGACTGGCCCCAAGATCAAAAACAAGAACGCGCGGCTGCAGCTCAAGGGTAGAATCTTCATGACGAACGTGACGGATATTGTCACCCTTTCCAAGCCTGGTATGACCCCGGCTCCCCTTGGTTTCTTTCTTTCCTTTTTTTTTTTTTTTTTTTTTTTTTGGCCATGCTCTGACGCTCCTCAGGTTCACATAGTGTCCAGATATGGTGGAAGGGCGATCCCGGAATCGAGAACTTCATGATCAAATTCAACAACGAGGAAGTACTGAAGAAGTGGGCCCAAGGGCTCGAGGTACAGCGCAAAGTGAACGACCCGAAGGCAAACAGCCCAGATACCTCGACTCCCGAGTTCGCATGGACAAGAGAACACGGATCTGAACTCCAGAACCCCTACCTTAACCAGCAGGACGACGACGACGACGACGACGACGAACTAGGCCCGACTTCGGCCCCGGCGCAGTTCCCCCCGCCGCCGAGTGGTAGGATCCCGCGCAACGCTTCCAGCAACAGCCTGCGCCAGCGTTCAGCAACTAGTGACAGCACCCACTCCCTTGCCAGCATGGTTCGCGCGGCGCCACCGCGTTTTCCGATGCCACCCCCCGCTCCTCTGAGCCTTCAGACGCAGGGCCCCGGCCAGACCTCACCACTTCCCCGGGGCGGGGATTCGTATTTCTCCCCCATTGCAGAGTCTCCAGCTTCGTCACGCACTAGTACCGCCAGCAGCATGGCACCTCCTTCTGCCTACCCGTTCCCTAAGACGGGTACCCCGCAACCGGGCTGGGGAGAAGACCACAACAGGTACACGGCGCCGGCAATGCCTCGCTCATCATCCCGAGATGGGACCTCGCCCAACCAGTACGGTATAAGCGGCAGGAACGCTAGAGGACCATCATTGCCGGCCATGGCGTCAAACAGCCAGAGTGCTGCGCAGCAACAGCGGAGCCGGTCGTACAGCACTCCGGACATCAACGGCCCCAACGTCCCTCCCGGCTCCCGACGAAACCCAAGTATCCCGAACATGCCGGTGCCGGGCATACCGGCACATCTACACGCAGCACATGACAGCAGCATCCCTCGATCTCAGACCGGATCGCCGAGGTTGAACGAGCTTCCGGTCCGGTCTAACACCCAGAGCCCGAGTACGCAGCGGGAACGCCAATATGGTCATCAGTCGACGGGCAGTTACGGGGGCACGATGGCACAGTTCCCCAGTCAGCCCATCTACCAGCGACAACCGACACCGAACCAGGGTCACTCGGAAAGGCATCTGAGCATTGACGCGACAGCGAGTAGAAGGATTTCGCCTCCCTTGGGCACTGGCACACAGACGAATCCGCTCGCGAGTCCGGACCTACCTCTCCCCACGCAGCTCAAGGTCAAGGTCAATTGCGTGGACAGCGGGAACTACGTCACGCTTGTTGTCGCGTTCAACATTACGTATCAGTCTTTGATAGATCGCATCGACGCCAAACTCGCCCGGTTCACGAACAGCAGCATTAGTAAGGGCATGCTGAAACTGCGGTATCGAGACGAAGATGGTGATTTCGTGACGATTGAAAGCGATGACGATATCCAAATTGCGTTCCTGGAATGGCGAGAAGGTGCTGGGAACATGTATCCTGGGGGTGTCGGCGAGATTGAGCTCTTCTGTGTTGGGGACACCAGCCCTGCGTCCTGAGCGAGACGAGCCGCTGCATCTTGGTGCGTTACGACATGTTGGTGAATGGAAGGTCGGCCCTACCAACGCCTACCAACGCAGGCCGGTGTTGCAGATCAAGCGTTGATGCCCTCGGTGGGCTCTTCTCAACCATATACCCACCCATTTGTGATTGTCTTTCCTTTTTCTCGTACTTTCTGCCCTTTTTTTCTTCTCCCCCCCCCCTTCCCGAGCATTCTTGGAGTTCGGAGTAGGCTTTTAAACTTGATGCTTCCGGCATTTGCAGAACTGCTTTATCCATCCACCATGGGAAAGGCGAAGGCAGTCACAGTATACCAGCCGCGGGTCTCGTGTCATCAGAGCATTCGGGGATTTTGCGATCTAGACGGGATGAAACGGGATTGGGGACATTCCCCGTATTTTTGGGCTTTGAACAGACATTCGTCTGGTATTAGGCTTTGGGACGGCGAGGATCATTACAATTGCCTTCTTGGAAATATTCTATGTTTCTGCTCTCTCATGTTTCCCACTTCCGCTCTTGTTGGTCCCTTTAGATTCTTGACCATTTCCTTTTATCGGTTTCTTGTAGAAATGACTACCTGACCTACGGAGTGCGTACTGACCAAGTTCGACTTTACGACAGTTGATATTAACTGGAGGCGGAGGGGATGTGTTTTCCGTGCAACGCCTCTAGCCATTGCCTATAGGTCTACTGCTAGTCCATGGCCGTGTCTACTCTATGCTAGGAGATGGGATCATGCCGATACAGATACCTTTGGGCTCGTATACGCTGCAAATTTACTCTCAAACATGCGGGCTGTTGCCCTTCCTGTGGCCCCAGCTGGTCTGGACGGGGAGTTGAGACTCATACGGTTGAATACATGCTAACCCTGGATGGCATATATTTGCCTTTGTTGCGTGACAAGAACCATGGATGGACTCCAACATTTTCCCCGTACCAAGGGGCAAGCATGTTTGCCGATGCGTCTCATTTGTGACTGTTTTACGATAATGGGATTGATTGTTATGACATGAGAGTACAAAATGCATAGACATGCATCCTTTCGGTGACCATATAAACGCCGCATCTCCGTAATTGGTTGATATACAGTTCCGAGCTGCCTTCTCTTCTGGATGAATCAGCCGCCGCCAAAAAAAAAAAAAATTCGTACAAAATCCTCGCGGTTGCAGCGTCGCGGCGCCAGATATGCGGCCACTTGGGCATGGCTGATGGGCATTTTTTCAATTTCTTTTTCTTTTTTGTTCAACATGCCTTCGCGTTACCGAACCCACTGATATGCCACGTTGATGCATGGGACAGCCGGATTTGTCCACGCAATCGACATTCGGTTACCATATCGGGAATCCCGGAGTGCACCGCACATATATCCGGGGATGCAGACAACCCCTCCGCATAGAGAAAATCGCCCTACTTCCTCCTGGTCGCGTTGGGGATGACACGGTCGTACATGCGGTTGAGATGGTAATTGATAGACGAGGTCGGGGCCTTCGCTGGCAGAGGGGCGTCCATGCAGGTGCGCAAAGCGTTCTCGAGGGCGGCGCACCCGGCGGTATTGTATCCTGCGGAAGCCCAGCATGCTGCGAGCCAGATTTCAAGCCGTTAGTCAGAACAACTCTTCGGACGGGCCCCCTTGAAGCAGCAAATGAGAAGAACCGGGGATTTCTTCGTCTTCTTCCTTTTTTTTTCCTTCTTCTTCTTTCTTTTCGTACCTAATACAGAATTCATGACGTTTATGCAGGGGTTTTCGACCTTCTTCCTCGCATTGCGGACTCGTAAGGACTTGACCGGTGGGAGGCGGATGGGCTTTGCGGCTGGCATGGCGGAGGAACGGGATGCGACGAGGTAGGTCGCAACGCGGGTGTTTGTCTGGAATATCGAGACGCGACGAGAAGGGTGTATTAATCTGCTAGCAGGTTCGAAAGTGAAGTGGTTTCCGCGAAGAGGGGCCGAGAACTGACTCCGTACCATCCGTTCGGAAGATTCGTCCTCGATAAGTAGAATGATTATGGAGCACTACGTACGGGTAAAAGCTGCAACGCTCGACCTCGAAAGTTTAGTTCTGAGGATTCGAAGTCACGTGGCTTCGGTCTATTATATTTTCCTATTGGATAAGGTACTTGGGGAGGTACGGCACAAAAGGGTACGTACCTACCCAGCAACGCGCATCCCACCACAAGGTCGAGAAGAAGACCCTGAATTGGTATAGTTAGCCATCGGAAGCACCCGATTGGCCGCCTCGCCGAATGTAAACAAAGATGTTCCCGGGACCGTTGACCGCGATCTTTCTTGCTCTTGCTCTAGATTTACCTGCTCTTGCTCTTTACGATTCAGGACATAATTTCAAGTCCTGGACTTTCTATTTCGCTCTCGTACTACTTCTTTACTTTTTTTCTTTCCTCCATTGCCACGGCGAAATAAGTGTTCTATATCGATCACTTCCTACATCTACGCCTCGACTTCAACGACCTGAGCGCGACTACTACCCTTCCTTGTGCCCCAGACAAGGAAAATGATAACTAGAGAAGAAGACGAACTACGCAACACAAACACTACATACACCGCAATGACGGAAACAAGTACTGAACAGGGTTTCGACATTCCTGTCCCTGTCAAAACATCCCCTTTCATCGGGCCATTTGACCCCTCAGCACACGACGTGTCCGCGTTCGATTTTTCCTTTACCGCCAACGCGCAACGAACCCTCCAAAACACCAGGCGTGAGAGGTTCGCGAAGAAAACGAGGAAAGTGCGTGGAATCGCTGCCCGCGCACGCATGCAGAAGACCATGTCGGCGCAATGCTTCGCCGCCCACAACACGGCCAGTCGCATGGCTGCCTTCAAGGCCTATCGGCAAAAGGCGAAGTTCGTGGTGGCGGCGTCGCCCCGCAAGAGACGGCATTTCACCGAAGAGACCGGCTCCCGGTGCGAGGACTCGGCCGAGTTCGATCCTCACTTCGAACTCGCCGTGGAAGAGGGCTTGTTTACCCTCAACTGGGCCAAAGGTATGCTATTCGTATTTTTCATGAAGTCGAATGAATTTTCACGGCCTAACTGTGCTTCCCACTCTAGCCGATGTCCGTAACCACCTACGAGCCATACAATACGATCCCTTGGCGACCGATGCCAGTAAGACGTGGCAACGAATGGTTGGGGCAACCACAACAAAGCGCAAAGCCGACGGGACGCGCCGCGGATGGATCCGTTCGCGCCAGGTTCACCCTGATGTGGCTTACCTGCTGACTTTCCCGGGTGACCGAATGTCCGCGTATAAGGCTCACGATCTTCTCGAACGGAGGGATCTTCTCCCTCTCGACCCCATCGCTGAGACAGAGAACACCAGCGTCGTGTTGCCGACCGAGGTGCCATCGACAGCCACCCATATTTCGGAGGCCAGTAGACAGGCGAGGCTCGACGCCGTAAGATGGCGGCTTGACCCTGAAAGTCAGGACGAGGTGGCGGATTTGACGACGCAGGAGATGGAACAGACTCCTGTAGCCCCGTCATCTCCTATCGCCACGAATCATTCGGCATCTGGTGTGGAGGTTCCCTCGGAAGAGAAATCTCCAGTTCAGGAAGCGGATCCAGTCCGCGTATTCCAGGTGCCCTCCTTCATCTCCGACACCACGTACTTGCAGGGCTCGGAACAACCCTGCACCCCCCCAGCAAAGACCACTTCTGCACAGCAGATTCTCGACGTGGATCTTAACGAACATCCAGACATCTTTGCGTCGGCTTTACTGCCAAATCGCAACACCGCTTACCTACCAGCCGAACTCTCCACCACGCAACCGAACTTCGCCGCGACCCCTCAGCCTTCGTCTCCTTCTCCCAGTGTAGGGTCTGCAGGCGACGACACGGCTGTCTATGGCTGCTGGTCTCCGCTGGCCTGTACTCCTTCTGCCGTTACCGTATCCCGATCGCACGCCGACGTCGATTCTTCTGCTCTTGTCACCGAACCAGAGCCGCAGCAAGAACAGAGAAAGGAATGCGAAAAGGAACAGGAACAAGAAGAGGAAGAGGAAGAAGAGGAAGAACAGAACACCGCAGTTGCGGCCACAGTTCAAGCACTGGCTAACCTGGTTGAGCCTATCCGACAGGTGCCAGACAGTCGGGTCATCCTATCGCAGGAGAACGGCCGCTTCATCATCCGGGTTAAGTTGCCGGAGGAATGCGCCGACCCGTTCTTGCCCCACGAGCCGTGGCAGGAGTGTGAAGTTCAGACTGAACCACAGCAAGAAGAGAGCGAAGAACAGGATGAACCGGACAGGGTGCTGCTCCAGGAAGAGAACCACGCGGCGGTGAAGGAAGAAATGACAGTAGCGGAAAATGTCACTGACGATGACCCGCGTGACTTGCTCCGTCAGTTTGTCACCAAGCACCAGGCAGGAAAGGCTAAAGCAGCGCCCGATGCTCCGGTCGTTTCGAGTCCTGTCCCTTCGGGAACTCCCATCACCATCAAGTCCACCCCTGCTGCTGCCGCTGCCGCTTCTGCTTCTGCTTCTCCGTCTACCGCTGTGCATTCGACCACAGCTCCTCAGGGACCCAGAACACCCGAGATGGCTCAACGAAGCCGACCCCGGCAGATGTGGATGGAAACACCCAACTTCACCCTGGAGTCGCAGTCGTGTGAAATTCAGTCACCGGCCCTGAAGAGCGACTCTCCATCTGGCCCTCGCGCGCGTACACCTCTCGGCCAGCTAGACCGCAACAGCCCACGCCCGGTCAAGACCACACTTCTCAAGCGGAAATTGGACGACGACGACGGCCCAGGATCAGAACCCAAAGACGCCGCCGGACAGGACGCGTCGCAACCCTCACCCAAGCGCAGGCGGAATCTCCGGGCGCGAAAGCCCCTCGCCGAGCCCGCGCCGCGCAACCCCCGTCTCGTGCGCAACACGGAGAAGGACCTCGCCTCGTTGACGCGCGCTAACACCCGCACCAACAAGGGCAACGCCCTCTTCCCGTCCGAAATCCTCGCCAAGCACGCCGAAGACCCGCTGGGCTACCAGTGGAAAGAGCGCAAGGCGGTAGTCGACGCGAAGGCGGCGCGGGTCCCCCGGGCGGGCGCTAAGAGCGTCCGCTGGCCCGATGTGCTGGCCGAGTATTTCGAGAGGCCGGCGAGCGCGAGCGGCTCCGACGACGAGCAGCAGCAGCAGCAGCAGCAACAGCAGCAACAGCAACAAGAGCAACAAGAGCAACAAGATGCTGCGGCAGGTGGTGCGGCGGAGCAGGGGGGGTGTGATGAAGCTACCGCCGTTTCCGAACCCGTCGTCGCCGCCGCCACGCCTACGAAGAAGAGGTCCGGGGTACTGCCTCGTAAGAATGGCACCCCTCGGTCTAAACTCCCTGCTCCTGTCTCTCGAACGCGGCGGACGGCGTCTCGCGTTGCTGCTGTCGGGGGTGTCGAGGACGATAATAAGGACGTGAGTCGCGTTGCTGCGACGTCGGCGAACGAGGCTGCGAAGACGCAGAGGCCTCTCCGCGCCAGGAAGGTGGCGGCGCCGGCGCAGAGCGAGGTTGCTGCGGAGGAGAAGAGACCTGTTCGGACGAGGAGGGCGGCTGCGCAACAGTCCAATTTGAGGATGGGCCTGACGGCCAGCGGGACGCCACGACGACGCAGCATGCGTACGGCTCCTAAGTGAACGAACGACTTGGGTCTTCGTTGGAGGAACAGAGGAACATTCTTGCATAAAGGAGAATTTGGAGAATTTTTAAAGCTTTTCTTGCAGGACCGGAAAACTCGGCATGGAAAGATACCCGCGCGTTTCGATGGTCGTTGAGGGCGGAACTTATTGCATTCTTATAAGTCTTTGTCTTTTTTTTTTCCTGCCTCGCGAAGCGAGCGTGCAGTGTTTCTATGCCTTTCGTCTTGCCGTTTGAGCTTTCGTCTTATTCTTTGCTCATATACCCCGGCATTCTATTGCGGATTTGATTTTGTTTGAGCTGGTTACGTTTGGTTTGGGTGTGTGGTTTGAGGCATTAGCAAGCATGATCGGCGATGCATGGCGTTTGGCAAGACACAGACTGCATAAAGACAATAGATTGATCTGAGGAATTGATCCTCATTTCGCTGCCTTTACTTTCCCTCTTGAGAAGACGACATGATCAAACTGTCCATCCGGGATGAAGCTGGTCTGGGAACTCGTCACAAGAGAGCAAGGACGGAGTTGGCCAAGTGAATACTGAAAGAGGACGTTATGTTATACTTGAAGCTGCAAACTGGGACAGCGTCTACACATCTGATGGTTCTTCATACCCAAGAGTCAATTCCAGTTTCCCTCCCGAAGTTCCATTTCCTCGTCGACTCATAACTCTTTCATCTCCCCGGCCTACTTGACTTGGAGGCATATGTGCATTAGCTTCTTATACTCACGGCGAATCGTTGGCGCCATATCCATGAATGGACACGATGTCTTGGGTGACGAAGGCCATGCTGTGTTTGCTAGCATGCTTCCCCTCTATGGATTCGCCCGTTCGAACCAGTCGCGGCAAGTGGAATTATCTTATCCCTCCCTCCATGGAGAGGGACTTCCCGGTTCCTAGTCAAACCATCAAACTAGGGCGACTGTATGTTTTTTCTCCTTCTCTCGGACGTGGACCGTTCTGTGCCTCCTCAAACCTGAGCAACATCATTCAGGAGACGCACTTCCTCACCCGGCTTGAAAGCAGGGAGGCCACGGTACGGACAACCATCGCAACGGAAGGCATCGCCCAGAGAGCAGCTATTGCACGACCCCGCCTTGCCCTGGATGGTGAAGTCGACTTCGTTGAGGTCGTCGGACTCGAGCTTCAGCACGTTGAGCTGCTTGTCGGCTTCGGCACGCTTCGCGGCATCTTCCTCTTGGAGACGGGCAGCAAGACCACACGTGCAGTCTTTGCAGGCGCGTGGTCTCCGGCCGGGTTTGGGGCGGCATTGTTTTGCTGTTGCAGAGATAAATTGTTAGCAAGCGCACGTCACATATAGTGAGAGATGGAGAGAAAAGAAAAGAAAAGGAAGGACAAAAAAAAAAAAGAAAAAAAAAAGAAAAAAGAAATGGCGGGGAGGAATGAAGTTAGTGATAATGTGACTGGAAAACGTACGAATGTCAAGGTTGGAAATATCTTCATCTGCTAGCAGGGCGTTCTCGTCGATCAATTCATCGTCGTCGTCATCGTCGTCGAGGTCAAGCGTGACGGGTGCGCCCACGGAGATTGGCTTGACCACGCTGTTTCCCCCCTCCGTGTTCTTCTTGTTTCCAAACCGCAACGGTACGGCGACTGCCTCCTCTTCATCGTTGGCCTTCTCAAAGCCGCCATCCTTCTCCACCAGACCAGAGAGCAACGCCTCGCGTGCCTCGGCCGCACTGAGGGCACCATCCTGCGCCTTGAATGTGGCTCCGACCTTCATGGCCGGCACGAGGGTGGCGAATACGGTACGTGTGAGTAGGTTCAGGGCTTCGGAGCGGCGAGTGCCGTCACTGTCGGTCAGGATGAGGACTGAATCATAGGCGTCTGCTGGTAGGGGAACGTAGCCGGCGGCGAGACGGTCGAGCATCTGGAGATCGGTGACGGAGCGGTCGAAGACGTTGAAAAGGTCGCGGAGCTTCTCTTCTTGGGCGGAGATGGAGGGAGGGGCTAGTAGGAGAGTGCGCTTCGTCTTCGTGTTCCCGATGGACCTGGACTGCGTAGCCTCCGCGGAGGGCGCCATGTCCAAGTCCACGGTCGTGTCGATGGTGACGAACGAGGGCGGCATGGTGCTGGTTGGCCCGGCCGTTGCTTCAGTGCAAGAACACGACAGCTGGACAATGAGGTGACTTGGTTTTGTGTTCGCGTTCGTGGAAATAAAGATATTTTGACGTTCTGTTGGCGAGTGTTGTAATAAATTCGATGTGACTTGATGGGACTTGATGTGACTGTTCTGAGTATAAGGTAGAGGTGGGATTCGAGGGACCGTAATCGGAGGAAAATGCGCTGCTGATGGAGGGGAAGATAAAGATGAGTTGAGAAAAATTGCCCCGCGGAGATAAGCAGATACATAGGGCTGAGTAATACAAAGTACAAAGTGAAAAGGAAGAGGAAGAGGAATTGCCCCCCCGCTGACCAATCCAAGGCACCCTATTATTACCCTGATGATTACCTACCTTACATATAAAGTCTCTACGCATGTGCTTAGCATGAACTCTTCACAAATTGCTAATCCGGATCTACAGAGTACGACCGCTAATTACACTTTGGTCCTCGATCGTTTTTAGGGTTCTATATCACGTGCATTAGAGACTTGATGCGTCTCCTCGCAAAAATTCTAGCAAGTATTTTGATCTTGCTATGCATAACGCTAGTTATTAATCAGTGAACTCGTAGTTATACAAGCAGACGTGTTTTCACTACCTGCGCTAAGAAAAACAAACATCATGGCTGACTGGACCAACACAAGTCATCACGTTGCTACAGGCTTGGTCCGCAAGCTTCTGTATATAACGTATTAAGGCTATATGGTTAATATTAGTGTTAGATGTTGCGCCGTTTATGGTATTGTTAGGCTCAACTGAATGTAAAGCGTTGCAAGACCAAGCCATTTAAAGAACTGCTTTTAATCAGTGCGGCGAGTTAGCATATACTTGGGAGCAAGCCACAGAAGAGTGAAACGGTGAAACAGTGCTACTAGCGCAAGTTTTACCAGCGCTGAATGTCGATAGTGATAGGCCTCGCTATTTTCTCTTAGTCATGCGTCTAAGCTTAGAGGCATCCCGGGAGTATACAGATGAGGAACGGTCCAGGGGGTTATAGTGAGCCCCGAGCAAGGGACTCAGTCTACTTGCCAAAGACGACAATACCTACCTGCTCGTACCGGTATATCTAACCTAACTACCTTGGTGCCCTACGAAGCTATGTTAACATGGGATTAGCGTGACGAGGGCGAGAACAGGCCACGCCCAAAGATATGGAGATTGAGAACTCTTATTCCCCTACTAGCCCGGTGCATATTATCACGATACCTAACTACTGCATGCCGCATAAAACGCCATGTCAATAGTTTAGACCAGATGTCGTATCGATAGGTAGCTTGATTCTGGGCCCCCTATGGGCTACAAAGCACAACACGTCCAGATTCTAAAATACTTGGCACTTGTTAGCCCATATCTGTCTTCCTTGTCTGCTGCATCTCTTGGTAAAACGGGGGAAGCATCTGAAGTTCCTCTGCTCAAACACAATGCTATTTTACCCGGGATCTTGTCTGTGACCGATCACATTCACTATGACACATGGTATTGGCCTCCTTTAGCCAGCTAGGAGTCGAGCCCTAAGCTGGGGAGGATCCCCGACCTCCGATCTAGATTCACTGTGGCCCACCCCGAGTCTCCACCGCGAGCGCTTGGTCCCGATCACTTCGGCGATTCAACCTCACGGACTAGACGCCGACCATATGGGCTGGCATGTAGGGCAGCCCAAGCGCTGGCGCTTACCTCCTTCGAACCAGGACCGGGCTCCGTAAGGCATTTATTTGCCCCCGCAGACACGATTTACTAACAGCCCGGGTATATACGCTGTACTGTTTCGGGCACCTCGGAAAGTTGGGGAACAAGGCTTATCGCGTCTGGAGTGATAGGATATGTGGACGCATAGAAGTTAACACGGCCGTTGCTTGAGAGTCGCCTTGAACTATAGGTAGGTGGACATGCGCCTCTCCGATACATACCTCCACAGAGCTACGGACATAAGAGGCTATGGAGTACGTTTAGGCGGTGAGAAATCACACATCAACAGGCGACCAAAGGACGTGTTCGTGGCGCTGGCCCTGGCATATTTAGGCTAGGAGCGTTGTCTGTGGCTCTCACGGGATTCCATTGTCTCCCATATAGGGTCTTTCTACTCCAGGTGTCAGGGTAGACAGGAAAGCGTCACAGGACGGATTAGTCCAGGGAAACGGCCGCCGGCATCTGAATCTGGACATCTAGATATCCTCCGATCTCCTCCTGGTATGATATTAGGCGCCCGATTCCACTTGGCCACGGGTGAAAGGGAGAAAAACTAAAAGGGGGTGCATTTTGAACCTTCGGTCAACAAAGTGGACAAGCCGAATTAGCGTACTGGAGTTCATGGAAGTCGAGCACTCCCTTTAGTTACCTACGGTGTCGACCCCGACCCCGATAAGGACCCAGGGGCGCTACTAAAGACGTAACAGGGTCATGCTGGCGAAGAAGCGGTAGGGCTAGGCTCTAGCTGATCGCTACGGATCGTCAAAGCTCAAGATCATGTTTTGAATCCTACTTCGTAGGAAGTCCATGCCGCAGTCACATGCCTGGAGCAAAGGGCATTAATGGGTTTTGTTCAAGAAGTGCCACTCGGCTAGTCGCAAACTCGTTTGACAGCTCCGGGCCACAGACCAAAAATGGGCAACGCTGGCCGTCTCGGAGCGAGGGCTCCGGTCGGGTTCCAGTAAAGCCCCCGCTCCGAGAGGCACCAGAGAAATTAGGCTGCGAGAACACATGGCATCTTGGGATAACGTAGCGGATAGCCCAGGATGTTCCAAACATGAGCAAGCTTCGATTCATGTCCGACAGTCCGTACATTGTACAACGTACTTGGATGAGGTGACACCACACAATTGTGTCGTTGTCTTTGTATACGGATACGAAGTAGTAGCTCCTGGACCATGGGGAATTGACTCGTGAACTGAGGACGTTAGTCAGGGCGTCGATAGAGAAACATGAGCTAATTATTCTACAATCTTATTCCCATGGCCGGCAACGTCTATCGGGAGATGGAAGACAAGTACGCTAGCCTACTAGCTTGCAAGCTATCGATCATGGTTGGACTCACCGAGTCGATCACCGATCGTGAAGCCGAGTGTCCTCCCGACTTCCACGCCGGCTGGTAATTACCTACCTAGGTATTGCTCGACGGTCGACAGCGATCGCCGAAGTACTGCGCAGGTAGACTACATAGTACGGCCAGCCCCCGTATGTGCCACGCCCTACTGGGCTTGTGAAAGAGCCACCCGGGGATTCCCGTACATAGACGGTTTTGTTCGATGCGACCTCCTAGTATCATGTTAAGGACTTGCCAACACGACTTGAATTGGCACGGAAATAGATCCCTTACTAACTTAATTCAGCTTGTCTATAATCGCTCAGATAATCGTGTATCCGGACCTCGCATCGCACCCTGTTCGAGCAAGGTCATCCAGCAACTTCAACTCCACAAAGGAACGCCCTTGGGGACGGAATGGCCGGTTCAGGAACGTAATTAGTTCTGTTTCTAGCGAGGAGAGAAAGAAGAAGAAGAGGGAGGAGGTGATTTGGTTCGAACAGCGTTGGTTCCCTCCCGAATCTCGTCCGTCTTTGTCATCGCACAATCAAACGACACTCCGAGGCGAGGAGGAAGAGCACAGCCTTCCTTTTCCACCGTCGACGTTGTTACGACTGTCGTACCTACACCCGAATGTCCCGAGCGCCCGGACCGGTCGTCGGGATGTGGGGCTAGAGAAGCAGAGAGCGAGTTTCTGCATTGGAACTGAAAGTGTTTCTAGGCCTGCTGGTGCGACACTGTAATTTCTACCCTGTCCTTCATAACTACCACATTTACCAGCACTGTAGGTATTCGTACTTCGTATTCTTGGATGCTGCCTTCGGCAGCTAGGGGGTTCGATCGCCACGCTATATTATATCTGTCATTCCGCGTCGAGGAAGTTCCGTCCCCGAGTTTTATGCAAATTGCAGTCGATCTTCGCTCACATCTCAGTTATCCCAGACGTCTGTTTAGGGGGTAAGGTAGCCAAGATTTGTGACTTCCAAGTCATCAACCAATTGTGTCCAACAAACCAATCCTTCACCTGTTATTCGGTCTTGCCACTCGGAGGTGTATCCCCGTCCCCTTTACAAACTACGAATACGGACAAAGCCACTCAGCCCTCCGTGGTTTATATAGAGCCTACCTTGTGTAAAGTACTTACGAAACATAACTCGTCACATCAGGCACTCGTGGTTATAAGGATAGGAAGCAAAAAATAGAATTCGTTCACGGGAGAAAGGGACCGGTAATTATTATTGGATTAACGGGCGTGTGATCCGGCCGGAGCAGAGATTTAATAGATGTATGATTATCTTCTTTTTATAAAGGAAAGAAGAACAGGAAGGTATAGGTGTTCTAAATATATCTACCTCTTTTCCACGCGAGGAATATAGGGCTAGTCCAGCTAATAGAAACACAGAAAACAGGCTTATATATTTTTAGTACGATACACCCCCTAATTACTATACCCTGATTAGCTTAGTAATTACTTAGCCTAACCTCGCCGGCGCTTTATAGTTAATTCTTAAATAGCTTTAAAGAGTAGTTACGGATTCTTTAAAGTCGAGTTAAAAGGCAGGTAAGGGAGCTATAAAATAAGAAAGAGTAATAATAATAGTAATACATAATAAAGAAAAATACTATTTAAAGTAATTAGTAGATAGGGGAGGTGCCGGATATAAATAAAAGGGTTTTTAGGCTTTTCGGAGCCTTCTTTTCCCTCCTATAACCATAGCCTCTTTTTAACGATTTTCTGTTATTTTTTCGTGCCTCGCCTAATCTCTCGGACTTTTCTCTTCTTATCCTCCTTAAATAGCCGTTTTTCGTCACTTAAACGCGCTATAGTAAGTTACCGGAGCTCTGGTTCTTAATATAGGTGCTGATAGTGGTTATTTTAGGCTCCCTTAACCCGCGCCGCTAGTGCTAAGGCCGCTGGTTCCGCTATTTTAACTAAGCCCTCTAGTATTATAAAGACTACGCCCGGTAAAAAACCTAATATAAGTGCTCCGGTCTTTTTAGCTTTATACTATTATTTACGGTCGTAAGGCTCCGGGTACTAACTAAAAAGCAGACTCCTAAGAAACCGAATAAAAAGTCTACTAAGGCGCCTAACCCTAACTTTATACCGGTGCCGTTTAATCCGCCCTATATATAATATGTAAAGGGTATTTATTCGGGTAAATAAAGCTTCTTTAACTTATACGTTACTATAGATAGGCGCTCTAATCGTTACCGTAAATACTATAATAGTAATTATACCTATTTATAAATATAAGTTCCTACCCCCTAGTTACTAAGAGTTACGATTAAGGACGAAAGCTCCGGGTTAAATCGAGATAAGGAGTTTATACCCCGGGGTACTCTTACTAATAACTAATCCTTAGTTATTATAGTATAATCCCCTTAGTTAAAATATTAGTTGATACCGTCACGGTCCGTAAGATAAGGCCTCTTTCTAATAAAGATAATCGTAAGGTAAGTTTTAAGTCTTATTCCTCGATCGTAAGGCTCCGGCTAATAATTCTGGCGTAGGTTTTTATAAAATTAAAGCAATATATTAAGTAAACGATTAAATATTTAAAAGACGATAATACTAAGCAGTTCTTTAATAAAAAGGAGCTTAAATATATAGCGGGCCCTGGCGAGGAGGGCTTAACTAAGCCTAGTTTCTCGGCTTATTTCGAAAGTTTAGTAGAGGAGGTAATAGCTTATCGCGTCGGCGACTAGCTCTAATAATAGCAGTAATAGCAGAATATTACGCCGGCTATAGTCTCCGCCGTCCCTTAGGGGGAAATTATTACTCTAGTAGTTAAGAATAGCGGTTCGAGTGGCGTTAAAGTTATTGCTCCGGTCACTCCTAATAAAGTATAGTAATAGCTTCTATATTCGCCGGCTAATAGTTTTCCGATTTTTACTTTTAGGATATAGAAGTTAGCTTATAGCTTAGGCGTTAGGTTAATACTATAAAGAGATACTAGTTTTACTTTTACCCTAATCCTACTATACCGCCGGCGCGCGGTATGCCTCCGGCGCCTAATTTTTAATATTAACTTCTCCGGTCTACCCCCTCCGTGCACTCGTTATATTAAGATATACGCAGAAGATCTCGAACTTTTATCGTGGGAGTGCCTTCGTTAATCCGTCTACCGGTATAAGGCTTATAGCTAAATAAACCACCCTAAAGGTCCTTTTACCGTGCTCCTATTAAATCTATAAGCATTAAATATCTATATATCTAAGCCGGGTTTTAATCCTATAGCCGTCGTCTACTAGAAGCCTAATTATTTAAGTGTTATCGTAATTAATATCCTAAGGGGATTCAGGGTTAAAGCGTATCTCTATAAATAGGCGCTTTAATCCTATTATTTCCTTCGCGACTTACTCTAGAGCGAGTAGCTCTGCTTTAGTTATAGACGTAGTAACGGTTACTTACCTTAATACTTTCTATACTATTAGACCTCTAAATAGGCTAATAAGATAGCCTTAGGAAGATCGTCGTATATCGATATCGTTAGTAAAAGAGGCGTTACTCGCGATTACTATAGCCTTTAAACCAGTGCTTAATCCGTACTAAATTAAGAGGTCTTTAGTTATATATAAGTAATAGATAGCATAGTCCGCTACCTTATAATACTTTAGGGAGGGGTTTCTAAGAAAGCGGGAAAGCATAGATACCGTAAAGGCTATATTAGGACGTATTATAACTACTATATATAATCATAATCCGATCTTTTCCTGGTACAATTTAACCTCTTAAGCCGTGGCCTTATCTTCTCTTTTCCGGTATTCTATAACGGGAACTAGTATCGCTAGGTATATATTAGTAGTATCTAAATTGAATCTAGCTATAATCTTCTCGATATATAAGTCGTGACTAAGTAGAACCTTACGCCGGGGGCGATCTCGCGTGATCTTAATCCCTAGGAACTATTCTGTGTTACCTTTTTCTAATACTTCGAACCTCTTTCTAATACCGTTAATAATCCTAAGGGCGTTTATAGCCGTGTTCTTAGAAAATAAGAT